TTCATTCATTCTTTCGTTAATTGTAATAAAGACATTAATTGATTAAATTAAATGTAAATAAATTTACCACTATAAAACTATGTAAACTGTGAATAGAGAGTAAATAGAGCAAAAAGTGTATTTTCACATCCAGAATAGGATAGCACTTACTGGTCTGTCAGCCTGATGAATGGCCGAATGGTCCTAATTGAATATTAAATGCGGCCGTCCTCAGCCAGACGGCATGACAGGGGTTTAGGTGTCTTAAAATGGTCGTGAAAACTAGAGAATGGTTGAAAGCGAGATTACTCAACCACTGCGACCCTTTGTTTATAACGCAGCAGGTGGTCGTACTTTTCATAAAATTATAAAAATTTTAATATTATAATTTTTTTACGTTTCATAACAAAAATAATCGGTGCCCATCATCTTTGTTGAACTGTGCCAATTACGAACTGAATGTGACTGCGGTGTTGAAACTTATATGTAATGTTATTTTTATATAAATTTATGTATAATAAAAATATTCATTTATGGAACTTAGAATGGCAAAAAACTGACAGCTAACCTAATGGTATATCTACTGTTCCACCCATGATACCCCCATGCGTTGCCATTCCTGAGGACTCAGGTGTTATTCCTCTGTACCCTGTAAATTCTTAAAAAAAAAAAACTTGAGTTGCGATTGGATACAGCAAAAAAAGTATAATTTATTAATATTTTTGAATTTGAATGAGCAGCAATGAGAGCCCGCCGTCGTTTTTCGGGTCAATTTCTTTTATATCAATAAAATGTAAAAAATGTAAAGGGAGCGAATACATAGGTGCTTTATATATAGTGGGTAGATATTGCTACATAACATGTATTAAGAATTAATCCCAAGAGAAGAGTAAGGTTGGTACTGATTTCATTCAATAACGTTAAAACGGTTCAAGGAATCTTTTGATTCATCACTGAAGACTTTCGCCCTCCCGTAGGTGGTTTCCCTTATGTTAATCATGTTAGTAGTAGGTAGACGTGGGAGAAATAAATTTAGAAGAAACCTTTTTAGATTTTGCAATCTAATAGAAATAGTGTAGGCTTGAAAATATAAGAGCGTTGTTTTAGATAGATTTTCATCCTTAAGCCCACATGAATTAGTATAAAAATGCCCTGTATTATATTTACGTATTTTAGGACATGGTCTATATTTGTACCAAATTGCATTCATATCCCTTTAATCATTTAAACATGATCGAATAACAAACATATTAAACATATATGTTTGTTACTAAACTATCCTTTTTTATAGGTAGGGTACGATTCTTCTTCCCAACATTATAATGTAAATGCGAGTTTTTATTTGTTTGTTTATTTGTTACCCTATATCGCCTTAACGATTTAACCAACCGTCATGAAATTTTGTATAGTATTTGGGGTGTAGAAGTACACATGGTGCTTTTTAATTTTTGCATTAGTAGTATATAAAAGTGACCATTCAATATTTATACTCGTGTTGTTTCTTTCACCAGATATGTATTTTGAAATAGATTTCTTAAATACTTATAATAAACATATAAATTATTTAATTTTAGATTTAGTTTCTTAAGACAATCTAGAAGCTGTCAAATAAAGTAACATGATAATAATTAAAATGTATAGGCACGCCCGTAAGTACACGTGTAGAAATGTTATCAAAATATGAATAATAATTAAATGATTTTTGAAGCCAGTGAGATTTGATATAGATTATGTGTAATTTACCCATATGAATATATCATGTAACTACATGATGCAGTACAATGTGAATACCCTCGTTTATTTGCTATCCTATTATATAACGCTTCTACCCATAGTCTTTGAAAGGATTATTAAAACTTAACGAGTGTTCCTGAATTAACCGTCATTGAAAATTCAACGATACGGGTCTGCGGATCCCATTGTTATCAATCGTAATTTATTATGTAGATTGCGATATAATTGTTAGGCATAACCTATACCTACCGGCTGTTTGGATCTATTAATTGATAAATCCATCTCATATTTACAGCTGTGATTTTAAAGCAGTCTGTAAGCTGTTATTACTCACTTTAATTTCATGTTTCTATTTATACATTGATGTTTAAAAAGGTATGAGTATGGTTTACAAGAGACGAGAATTAATATAAACATTAGGTAAAGTATTATTATTTACCAATTTATCGTGATATTTTAACCAGGTTATGCCACCGCTTTCGTGGCAGAAGCTTTTTTTTTTTCCCACTCATTGTCACGTAAAATACAAATTGTGTCCCTATACTGAGGGTTACTGTGCACAAAACTGACCGTGTCTTTATAAATTATGAAACTCGAATGTCTAAAACTTAATAAGGCATATCTGTTTTATAATATAGTATCTTTATTTTATAGTATTAAGGTATATGTTTTGCCGGGTAGTCCCGGCACAGAATGGGCCGTCCCTTCCTTTTCTGTGGGTGTCGTAAAAGGCGACTAAGGAATTTTAATGATCGAGGGATGGGCAGCGATGACCAGTAAAGCCTAATTGCAGTTGCCAACTAGCTTGCCAAGCGCAACAACTACTGGCATAATCCCCTTTATGGGGGTGACTTATGTTCATCGGAAGACAGTTGACGGCTGATATGGTGATATTTTATACGACGAATGATTTCATTTTTTATTTTGTAAGTAAAAATGCTCACAAAAAAATCCTAATGGGGTAGTTAAAGGCAATAATCGACTGTCGTTGTAGTAAACATGAAGGTTGTCACTAGAGTTAGGTAATCTGAATCATTACCAGAGTTTCCCACCATCTAACTTGTCTGATCTGCCTAGTCTCTTTCTTTTTCTTATTATGAAATTGTGTGTGTTTGATTATAGACGTACCATATTTGATGTTAACTAATAAATTGGCTAAGATGTAACATGCAGACCTAAGTAATAGTAATTCATTCCTGTCCTAAAGGGTCGCAGATTACATGACTGAGTAAATACTTATTTGATGTTAGGAATATGTTGATATTTCACGTAGTTTGGTATACCTTGTGCGTTTAATATGAATTTCGTCTAATTATAATAGTTTGTCCTTGTCCTTATATAAGTACCTATCTGGTAGCGGAAAGCTATTTACGAGAAAACTTCGACTATTTGCAAAGTTACACAAAGAGACAGTTAAGGTTTTAACAATAATGGAACCCTTGGTATTAAAACAATATAGGCTTGTTACGGTAATTATTTACGTGTTGGGAATATCATTATAGTTAAAATTAATAGGCAACAGCGTAATGACATGAATGAGAATAATAATGTAAATGTTTGTAAAATTTTATAATAAGTTTCGTAAGTATATAATATCTTTTGTAAATGTAACAACCGGATACATTTAAGTTAGTTTATTTTTAGGAATCATGACTACTTATGATTAAGGGTTCAAGAACTAGATAAGCATTCTTGTCAAAAATACACATATGTCAATCAGTTTTTTACAAATTATTTTTAAGGATTTTTACGTTATTTAAGTACAGCATTCAGTGTTCAGTATTACGAACTATTTACTTACTTTGCCTACAGATAGAAAAAGAGGATTTAATGACCGTGAATAAACTGGAGGACTTACACATTTACCGCCAGTAAGATATTCAAATTTTTCTGACCATCTGATCTCTGGAATTTAATATTTCAGTTTATAATCACAATAATTATAATATTTTGTTATTTATTTTTTAATGATATAGGCTATAGGCAAATGAGCTTACAGCTCACCTGATGGTAAGTGATTGCCATCAGGCGAGCTGCAGTATTAGAAAAATTGCAGGTGTGTTGCTAACCTTTTCGAAAAGAATATGCTCTATTCATGAAGGTTTCAATGACGTTGATTCCGTACATTAGCTGTGTTTAAAATTTTAAACACAACTAATATGCGGAATACGAAATGTAATATAACTTTATGATTATAAAAAAATAGCGCCTAATTTGCCATCACTAAAATCTGCCGCCGTAGGCTTCAGCCTACTCAGCTTATAGATAATTCCTTACATTATTACAAATGAATTTTCAAAACTTGAGGTATAAAAGAATATAATAATAGAACTTCTCTATTACTTTGTAAGAAAAATACAAAAAACAAGGTAACTTCAAGTTTATTTGACAGGTACGTGTGCTACGCTCAAGTGATTAATCAACGGTATGTGCCCGAGACGAGATTAATAATAAACCAGTAGCAAACTTTGTTTGTACCGAATTTGTGTTTGCAAACTAACTAAAATGTTGAGATTTACCTACTATAATCCTACCCTTTAAGTGACTGTGTACCGAGATTAGTGTATAACTCAGTTTTAGCATCACGACGTGTTACCCCAACGGAAGTTCTCGATTAAATCCCATATAAAGTTACATCGCAACTTATTGCATCGTGTTCTTAATGCTTTAAGTGATCAATTACAAGGTAAAATGTATTCTCTGAGTTTACAGCTAAAACAGGTTTTTAAGTGTCGCGTTTGTGAAACATGTAGAAAAATGTTATATGATGAAATAATCAACTGATTTAAAAAAAAGAAGTAGATTCTGAATTCGATGGTATTTTTTACGATTGCTACCTTATAACTTCCTCAGTCAGAAACTGTTTTTTAAAATTCTCTTTTTATCTGAAAGAATATAATTTCAGATTTGTCCTACACAAATTTTATCAAAATCGATGTAGTAGTTTAGTTTTCAAATCGAAATACTAGTTTTCTACGATTGATGTAACGTTTTCTTATGGAACACAATCTTATATTATTTTAGTACCTGTTTGTTGTCACGATTATCATCACTGGAGCGCCTAAATATATAGGTATATATAATTTTACAAGAGTATATTATATTTGTAATATAAATAAGAGGAAAATGGAATAAAATTTACCTTTATTTAAAAATAGACTTATTTACAAGCTTCTTTTAATCATTATTGTTATATATTATTGTGTTTCAAATCATTAGATTAAAAATATATTTAAAATTATACTGCTAATATAGATATAATAATTATTATAAAAAGACAATACTGATACTATTGACATATTTTTATTTATTTAATTTCAGTGAACTACCAAGAACGTACAGAAATAATATTAAACTCCACTCAACATACACGAAGTTCAGTATGAAGTGACACATTGTTTACTAAACCACTCTTTAATATCTTCGACCTTGTAAGAATCTGGCACTACTGGAGCATCGCGAAATGGGTCCACAACTACAGTTTGTTGACCTCCAGAAAGTCCTCCTGTGGGATAGGCATGTGATACTTCGGGCTGCTTGTAATTCTGATCCAGTCTTATACTTCTATCTTTATTCCACGTCAATCTTTGTAGTTCACCTTGCCATTTCACAACCACTGAAGGAAAAGGATCGCCTCCTTGCAAAGTTCTCAGAACGCACGGTACAGATGTTAATTCGTCATATTCTTCTATATTTGTCTCACCAGAAGCTACCCTGCTATCAACAAATTGTGATAGAAGTAACAAAGAAATTAACAGAACAATTTTCATCTTGCTTCCACGGAGTGATATCAGTTACTGTGTAAGAATCAACACATTCTCGAAGTGAATCACTTATTATATATTCTACAAATGTGCATACATAAAATGGTATCGTTACGTTATCAGAATTTATAAATATTAAAATGTTTTCAATAATATTACGCTCACTAGAAATCTTAACGAGCGACGATAAATAATTTGTTTTTGTATTTATTATCTACATAGTATTTAGATAGGTACATATATCTAACCTAGGTATACTCGCATTTCAGTACAGATAACTAAATAAACGATTAGGTAATTAAGCAATGACCTCAAATTATATATGTTATTATATTAGGTACCATTTATGATCATTAATTTAATTAATATTGTCTATTATAAAGATATTTTTAGAAAAAGAAATACGTTAGAATATACAACTACAATTAGTACGTGTATTATATAATGCATTAGTATTAAATATAAAACATTCGTTTGTTACTCTAGCAAATTAACTATATTACAACATATCAAATTTACTATATAATATTATAAATATGAAATTATACAAAAACCGGTCAGGTGCGAATTGAACTCATACGTCGAGAGTTCCATACTTAAATATATGTGGCATAAAATGAGCAATGATTTATTAACGTGAAATCTCATACAAACTAAACATCTAATATTTATTATTATTGATACTGCAATATGCAATTACATATTTTGAACTAAAATTGTCGCTGAAAACTGGATAGTTATAGGATATAGAATAACTATGATTGTTCTTGGAAATTTTTTTGATAAATTCTCAATAACAGCGCAAATTAGAAACTTTGTTTTATTTTTCTTGTAATCTTAAATATTTGAAGTTTATAACTGCAAATTATTTTAGACATTTCGCTTTGAAAATTTTGAAAATAAGGAGGTGGGGAGTGGCTTTTTTCTCACATATTCGATAATAACTAAAAAGCTATGCAGCATAAAAAAATAAAAACCAGTTTTAAAATGTACAAATGCAATTCTTAATGTGATATTTCATATGAACTAGTAAAAAAATTTGGAATTTTGAGTACCCCTTTTAGAACCTGTGATGGTCCCCCCTTTTTGTGCACCCCTATATAATAACTACCCTCTAAACTTTGCTACACATGGAAAACCTACAAAGCCTAAGAAAAGCCTACGAAGGCTTTACCTAATGAAATCTATGAAAATATAATGAAAATCTACCCTAAAGAATGGCCTAACACCCTCAATATAACCCCATACCTATATTGCCTTATACACCCCAAACATCCTATGAATCATATAAACTCTTACAATAAACATTTAATATTGAACAGATCTTATAGTAGAACACTTGATCATTTGGCCAGATAAATAAAAGTGTGATCGTCTAGTAATGTAGGACCCGTTGTGTGTGTAATAACCAAAAGGTTCTTTAATTGGTATATGATAGGAGTTAAATAATGAAGATGATTTATAAATCTTTAAGGATTAAGAATAATTAATGAATTATACTCATAATTCATGTAACTAGGAAGTTATGTTAATTTAATAGTAAATTACAGAATAACTGTAATAATAAAAAAATGGGGGAGCGGTCGGGCCCCTCACACGCCCGGACCAGTGGAAGACTTTCCAACTATCTATAACTCTTCCTCCTAAAAGGTAGGGAAGGGTATTACTATTTATTAATGCACTCTGATGGTAATAAGGGAATGAGTATTCTCAGTTCCAAACCAAACATAAGTACATTTACTTCAACATTACAGTGGCTCCACTAGCCCCACGATGCTTCCAGTATAAATTGGTGTTTGCCAGAGGCAAAAGGATCGGAACTGAAATCCCAGGATCACTCCGACACGAGAGCTTACTCATGGGCGATGACCCTTTCAGTCCTATATGGCGACATAGAGATCACCCACTAACAGTACGAAACTGTTTCCCAGCGTCACCCTGTTACGAGCTTACTCAATGGGGGTTTCCCTTCGGCTCCACAAGAGATCAGACCAAGAAGCGAGATCACCCAGACACCAGAACTTACTTTGTTGGGACATAACCCTTCGGCCCTATAATGTGACATTAGAGATCACCTGTGAAGACAGTCCGATAGAGATGAAGATTTGTGTGATAGGGGATACCTTCCACACCCTGGAATTGGCCAAGCCATATAATGTTGATAATTGCTATATCATAACATAGCATTGTCAATTTAATATTATTTACTTAATAGCAAGAATACTCAAGGTTCAAGTTAAATCTGTTGATTAGGCCGGAGCCTAAGAACGAGTAGTCCAACCCATAGGTCGAGAGCTACTAAAAGTAATGAGTGCTATTGAATGAACTATAAGTCCAGTCAATTATATATAATATTATTGTTGATTAACCACATTGTGAATTAATCAATTATTTATTCAGAGAGATATATCTAAAGGAACTATAAGTCCTTTAAAAGACACTGATTAATCACAAGTTAACAACGTCTCGTGAAATAACCAGTTGGGTTTTCTATAAGTTTGAGGACACTAAGTCCAACAAGCTATTATTGTGTTGAGAGTAATAGAGATCTTTTGTAATATTTGTAGAGGTTTGATTAATCACATTGTGAAATAATCAGATTAAATAATTATGTAGCTTTATAGAGAGGACTATAAGTCCTAATTGGTTGTTGTCATAAGTACTGATAAATTACACATTAAAGTGCCAGGTCAATTATTATATATAGGTATATAGGAAGGACAATAAGTCCTATTTGTGTATGTTGTAGTAGTAGAGGCAATATTTTGCATAATTATAATGTGAAAGATATAGATTAAATATATATTTGTATAGAAAGGACAGTAAGTCCTGTGATGTACTCATTAAAGTTGAGACTGCAAGTCCCCCCACTCCTGCCACTCCTCTGGGTGACGTCCGGGCGGGTGGTCGTGTGAGTCGCATTGTGACATATTATTGTTTATTATTTCCTACACCTACCTACCATACCAGGAGGACAGCACAAAATTGGCGACGAGGTGAAAATTTGTAAGTAAAAAAAAAATATATATATATATATGTCATACGACTACAAAATTACCTGTTCTAATCAGTCCAAAGAGTGTGTAACTATCGCGTTGTTATTTTAATGTAACTTGACACGAATAACATTAAACTGTTAAATTTCTAAATTCACAAGGAAGAGAGAAGATAATTTATTAATTCTCAATCAATTTATTAAATATAGAAAAGACTAAAAGCAATTTCAAAAAGAAATAAAGACTTGATTCTATAAATTGTATAGAGAGAGCAAAATATTGATAATACATATTACGGTGCATAGTACGTTTTGTAATTTAGCGACACACTGTGACTGATTTTAACGCGTTTGCGCATCATAGTCGTACAATAACTTGCTATACATGCCTAAACAAATGGTCGGCGTTTGTTGATGTCTAGGTATATCGTACCGCAAGCTTTCTGTTTATATTTACATCACAGTATAAGTGATTATAACAGTTGAATTCTTAAGATAAGTGGTTCGGGGATACCAGCGAATACTGACTATACATACAACAAAATGTGCCTGCATGTATTAGCCGAGTCGGAGTAATTATTCTGACAAATAAAATACACCGTACAATCCGAATGAGCAAAGCCCATCAAATACATAATTCCACATAAACTGTAATCTATTTAGATACAAGAAGTTTATGCAATTGGTGGTTCCGATTATAGAGGTTGCTTCCATAATAAATAGATTTGTATGTAGGTATAAACCTAATACAAATGTAATTATCATAAGATAATTATGATATATTCAAACACTTCACATTAACTTCATTATTTGACAGATATTTGGTAAGAGTTGAGGTTACGATTTTATTTTTCTTACAAGGAACCAGCAGAATATTAGCGTTGCCGGTAGTTCTCTGCTTAATTCTGAGTTGGTTATCCTTTCGCCGTTAGGGCACATAAATTTACCTACGTATTTATGTTGGTTTATAAGTTCAAAAGGCTGTGTTTGTAACTGAGAATAATCCATTTATCCACCTGTACAACAAGTACAAGTATTCGCATTTACAATATTGTTGCCTACAATTATAATAGCATACATTATTACGGTAGGTAGGTATAATCATTTAATAAAAAATAAAATAAAAAAAGCCTTTATTCTTGAATTACAGTTTTTTTTTTAAATTGTAAATACGTATAAATAATGTACCACCCATAAAATTCCCGTTTTGCAAATTGTCTTATTATGACATCTCAATTGTCAAATCGTAGAAAAATGCATTTCCTCAGATCTTAAGTTAAAAGATAATTCTACTAAAATAGAAATAAATATTGTGGAAGCAATTCAATAGAGACTGATGAAAGATCAGTAAAAGGACACCAAAGAAACCAAATCTTGTAAAGAGATTTCAAACGAAAAGAATATACGGTGTATGAAATGCGAGAGTACATATCAAAATAGTTATTTAATGTGTTGCAAGAAATAACTTCTGCTAAAAGTGTGGATTTATAAGCCATTTAGGTCAAAAGCAATATCGCACTAATCGAAATAAGTGCATGAATGTGCTAGCGCTAGTTATATGGCGAAATAAATAGTATAAACCAAATAATCCATCAAGTAAAAAATAAATAAAGTTACCTAACAATCATTCAACTCTCCTATAACTACATTCATACTGAATGTTGAACATACTCTATTCCACTATAAAATATCTTGCCAAAATAGTGGAACTAAATGTTAACCATACTCTATTCCATTATAAAATATCTTGCCAAAATTGTGGAACTAAATGTTAACCATACTCTATTCCATTATAAAATATCTTGCCAAAATTGTGGAACTAAATGTTAACCATACTCTATTCCATTATAAAATATCTTGCCAAAATAGTGGAACTAAATGTTAACCATACTCTATTCCATTATAAAATATCTTGCCAAAATAGTGGAACTAAATGTTAACCATACTCTATTCCATTATAAAATATCTTGCCAAAATAGTGGAACTAAATGTTAACCATACTCTATTCCATTATAAAATATCTTGCCAAAATTGTGGAACTAAATGTTAACCATACTCTATTCCATTATAAAATATCTTGCCAA